TACCAGTGAGGAAGCTGAAGTTTCTTCAACAAGAAGCCCCCTGGTCAGTCAGCAAATGTTTATTGATTTGATCATTATGCACGAGGCACTGTGTCAGGAAGGCGGGCCTGGGGGTACAGTAGTGAGCAGGACAGACCTCTAGTCCATGCCCCTGGGACCCTCAGCGAAGAAAGATGTAAAGCTACTAATTTCAGAGAGAAATGTTTAAATACAATTGTGAGGGCTTCTATGGGGTGAGAAATAAAGAGGGGAAGGGGATCATATAATGAGGGACCTGACTGCATCCCCAGGTCTCATTCCTCTCTTACCTCTACCCCTGCCTTCTACCTAGCATTTCGGCTGGAGCTTAACTGCTTTCCCCAATGTTTACTGTCCGCCCCCGTTGACAGCAATAATGGCTCCTGCAGATTAAACAATCCTCGCCTTGCCGTGAGCTGTACTTGGATTGGCCCATTAGACAACAGCAGAAAACCTCCCTTGCTCCCGGTTCTAATTGAGTAATTTACGGTAAACAGGCTCCCTTTCCTCCAGAGCCCAGGCTGGCTCGTTAGCCAAATGGAGGTGAGCAAGCGCTGCCTCTAATGGGATGCAGGAGAGAAATGAGCTGTCCAAATGCGCGGCGGTCCCAGCAGGCGTTGAACTAAATCAGTGAACTTTAAGGCTTCAAGTCTTTTTTGCAAACCAGCCCCTCCTAGTGAAGGAGGCATGGAACCAAGGTTGCAGATCCAGGATGAGATTTTCAATGAGTTAGGGAGGCTTTTGAGGTGGGGTAGAGGTGATGGAGTTTCCTCTTTCCTGCTCACTCCTACATGTGTCCTCACCACTTTTGTGGGCAAGGTAGCATCTCTGCCTTGAGATACGTGTCGCAACTCCTACTGCCATGAGGAAGGACACTCCCTCTTTGAGGCTACCATGTGCCAAGCACATCATAGATATGATATGATATGATATATGATACGATATTATTAGGGACTCTTGCGAGTGGTTTCATTTAATCCTCATGAAGCTCCTGGGAGGCAGGTATAACTGAAGAAAACACCTTCATGGGGGCTGATGATTTTCCCAAGTTCATGTACTAACGAGGCACAGAATCCAGATCTGTCAGGTTCCCAAATTTAAGTTTATGTTGCAACAGAGACAGCACAGGGCAAAGGGGGTGTCTTGAATCTATTCTTGGTTTCCTAACATGCTGTGTAGCCTTGGGGGGTTCTGCTCTGAGCCCCTGTCAATAGAATGAGTTCAGCCTAGGGCAGTGGGAAGGGGTGGCTGCCAGGGCAGCAGGCCCCAGGGGCTTTCCTGAGGGCTGCATGCTTGCAACAGGTCTCCCTATAAACCTAGTGACACTTCAGGCTTAGCTGGGACTGCGGTGTTCCCTCCCCTGATCCTTTCACGCCCCATAACTCTGTCCATGTGACTGTCATGAAGGAAACCAACAGATGAGGGACAGGGAGATGGCCCCATTGTCTGTGCTCCTCTTCCTCCTGCAGTTTTTATGATTTGCTTCATTTTTCTGAGGACTGTTCTGTCCTCTCTCTGGCTGTGTTATTGAAGGCCAGCCCTAGGTGGAGCTGGGGGACTCATAGTCTGAGAGGTGGGAGCAGTGGGAGGTGCTGTTGAGAGAGAAGAGGGCTTGGCTATGAAGGGTTGGGGCTGGGTGTCGTCACCATGGAACCAGTAGTCAGGCTGTCAACAAATGCTGAACACATGTCACCTGTTCATTGCTCTCATCATCATCATCTACAATCATAAAACGTGGATACTAGTCCTCCGTCACCTACTAGCTGTGTGATCTTGGGCAATGGATGTAATTCCACTGAATTTCAGAGATCTCACCTGTAACAAAGGGATGATGATAATATTAAATGAGTTAATACTATATGAACCATTTAGAACAGGGCCGGGCACATAGTACCTAGTCAATAAATATTACCTATTGTTTTCATTATAGAGGTACTCTATAAACATCAGCTGGGTTAAAGTCTTTGCTATTCCCTCTGTCACCTTATAGATAATCTCTCTAACCTGTTTCTTGTTCCCAGTGAATGAGAAGTGTAGCTCCTCTGAGATCTCATCGGAATCATAATCCCAGTTTGACTGGGCAGTTCATTGTGTAGGGTCCTGGGCCTAGTCTCACACTGAGCAAGATGTAGTTTCAGACATCAAGGAATCTTGTCCCACTGGGGAAAGGAGGCAGGCATCGGTAATGCCGTCTGCGAAGGCCCGTGGTTTATATACAGTCCAGATGTGCCCAGGAGGCCTCCCCAGGTTTTGTTAGGGGGCAGCCTCCACCAGCATAACTGCTGGGAGACTATGAGTGAAATGGATGAGCAAAGACATCTCACCAGGGTGCTTTGACGAAACAAATCTATATTAGACTTAGTGCATGCCCCTCAGCCAAGAGCCCAGTGTCCCTAACGAAAAGGGTATAGATTTTGGGGGCATGACTTGTTCCTACTGTGCCTTTGCTGGCCTCTTGTGCTCACTGCTTTTGTCCAAAAGGCCTCCCGATCAGTGATTAGGAATCTGTTCTAGAATTTTGTGCTCAGCAAGCTGTGTTCCTAGAATCTGCCTCTTAGAAATTCAGAACATCCAGGCTTCTGTGCCTAACAGCTCTCCCTCTGGGTCCCTCAGATATGATTCGATCAGATCCAGAGGTTCCTTCAATATTCTAGGGCGTGCTTCACCTAGTCACAGAATCCTGACTGGTTTATACTTATTTATTTTTATATTTAAAAATATTTTTTATTGATTTCAGAGAAAAAGGGAGAGGGAGAGAGAGAGAGAGAGCTAGAAACATTAATGATGAGAGAGAATCATTGATCGCCTGCCTCCTGCATGCCCTCTACAGGGGATCGAGCCTGCAACCTGGGCATCAAACTGTGACTTCATAGGTAAGCGCTCAAACACTGAGCCACGCCGGCCCGGACTGGTTGGTTCACACCTTAAAGGACCTTAAACTTCCTTATTGTCTCTGTCTCCTCAGCCGCTCTGAGCTTTAATTCCCTCTTCAACGGTTTTTCTCTGTCCCCCTTTCCTTCTCCATGACAACGATGGCGATAAAATAAGGCCTGCTTGTTCATGCACTCTGAACACATCATAACTTTCGGAGAAATTGGTATTACTTTCTGGTTCTTTAGTCAGACACATCACAAAGGGAATTTTGTTATTTCTAACTTTTTCTTTCGTGTCATACTTTTCAGGCGAGTGACTCACTGGGTTCCCAAAATACATTTTCTCAATAACGATGGTAATGGTAGAAATAACAATGCCGAGACCAGTGACGCACATTGTCCCTGTGCGAGGTGCTTCATGCACTTCATCTCATTTTCCTCATCGCCTTTATCTGATCACGGGGCTGAGCACACAGCAGACTCTCAGGACACCAGAATAATAACAGCTTCTATTTATTTCGCTCCCATCTCTATTACTGATCTCATGTCACTGTTATAGAGTTCTGTGAAATAGATATTAGTCTCAGTTCTAGATAAATAATTAGGGCTCAACATAAAGGTATTCAAAATCCATTCCACTCCTTCTTTCAACAGGCAACATAGAGTGCTTGCAAGTGGTTCTTGTCCTTGAAGGGCTCACAGTCTAGGGGGGCCCACAGTGGCAGTGAGTCCCTGGAATTAACCAAAGCCTTCGTATATTCTGGGCCCCTGCCTCCCCATACTTTTTCGATGGACACATGCATTCCAAGCATCATAAGGGGTACTTTGTGTCCAGCCACATCACTATTCATTAAAGTCCTCCTCTGCTCTTTTCTCATAAGGGTCACTGTAATCACAGAGTAAGACTTTAATTTTTCTGGGCTCCGCTCTATCTTTCCAGTAGTTCATTCTTGTGTTTTCTCTGAAGGTCTTGAAGTCTGCTGTGCTCAAACCAGGGCATGTCAGGGGACAGTCCTCCCTCTCTTTGATCACTTTGCCCAGGCAACAGCGATAGAATCTCCACTTCCCACAGGGAGGGCTTCTTTGTTGGCTCGGAGAAGGAGTTGGCAGAGAGGGAGGACTGGGGAAGGGACAGGCAAGGCAGGAGGAGACAAAGAGGTGGGCAGCTTGTTTTATGGGGGAAGAAGGACGCTATTGTCTCCATCCAACCTGTGAAGCACAGGCAAGCCAAGTGGGTCTTCAGAGCTGGGGACTGGAGCCCCTGGGACCCGGCTCCCCTTTATCAGTTAGCCTGCTTTTGTCTGTAGAGAACCCAGATCCTCACTTAAACAACAACTGCATTATCTTACATAACAGGAAGCCTAGAGGTGGGCCCAGCTCCAGGCTCAATCATTCAGGGGTTCAGGGATCAAGGACCTTTCTTCTCCAGCTAGGTCCTCTCCTGATCGCAAGATGGTTTCTAGCAGCGACGAAATGATATTCTTTCCTTGCTCAGGTTCAGTGGGAGAGATCCAGTCTTACCTTGTAGTTAGGAGAACATGTTTTTCCTAGAAGCACTCCGAACCAATTACTGGCAGTCTGGGTGAAATTACATCATCTGAAGTGGAATGGATTTTGGGAAGCAACCACCATGCCCATTACAAAGTCACATTTTCCAGGCACAATCAAAGCAAATACCCCAGTGCTGTGATGGTGTAGTTAGGGAATTAGCATGTAGAGTCGCCAGATTTAGCAAATAATATAGGATGCCTAGTTAAATGTGAATTTCAGATAAACCATAGACTTAAGTATAAGTTTCCCTCCTGTTATGTTTGCTGGTCCCTGTGGTCCAATATTGGGTACAAAGCAAAATGGATCAGGCACATATTTGACAATGGGATAAAAGATTGCGGAAGTTCACAGTGGGCTAGGGACTTACTAGTAGAACCAAGGTCAGAGTCTTGTATTACTTTTGTGAGGACAGCGGAGCATAAACTGGTTCAAAGGGGAGGGCTGGGGGGTTTTTCTCCACACCTGCCTTGACTCCTTGCGGCCAGGATCTGGGAGAGAAAGTGATTGTGTCTCCTCTCTCGGGGCCCTCACTGACCCCATCCTCCCTTCTCTTTCCAGGGTCCCGACCGCTGCGGGCAGGCTTTGCTGCAGATCGGGTTCAACATGATGGCGCTGCCTGGAGGCCGCCAGGTGGACTCCATCGCCCTCCCGGGTCAGCGGTAAGTCCCTAGGCCGTAGGTGGTGCCCTCTCCATGCACCATCCTGGGAAAAAAGCTTTAGGACAAGGTGTTGGGGATACCAGGTTCACTCTGCAAATATGCATGGAACTGGGCCCTGGGGCATGGAGGAGTCAGGCACATCCTATCTCCCAAGGAGCTGCAGTCTAAGATCCAGGCAGACAGTGAAGCAAAGAATCCAGTGGGGTGTGCCGCTAAGATAGGGGACCCCAGAGTAGGTTCCTGATCCTTCCTAGGCCAGGAGGCTGGAGTCACTGGGGCCCTCGGGGTTAGTGAAGGTCCTCTCTGAGCCTCTTTGAAGGGTCAGTCTACCTTTAAGTGTCTTCTCTTCCCCGCAGAGCACCAGGGAGAGAAGTGAGCGCAGAGCTGGTCCTTGGGAAATGGCAGTTGCCCTGAGTTGGGAAGCAGGGGGTCGGGGGGTGAGGAAGGGAGGACTGCACTGAACAGGTAAAAGCCAGATGATGAGGTTGGGGAAAGGAGAGACTCGTGGCCCCAGAAGTGCCTTCTCAGCACCTCGGTTCCCTCATGTGTCAAATGGGGAGATAATAGTACTACTTCATAGGGTTGGCGTGTGGATTAAGTGAGTTCATATAAATAAGTGTCCGTCATACAGAGAGAGCTACACAGGGGGAGCTATGGTTTAGTATGTGCCTGCTGTGCCTCAGAGGTCCTCTCTGGCTCCTCATGTGGGTGATCTTGGGGAGTTCTTCCAGAAATCCCTCCTCTGACCTCTCTTAGCAAGTGACCTCGCTGAGAAAATAAGCAACCGCAGGCAGACACTCAGCAGCCTAATGTTTTAAGCCAGGAGAAAGCGGAACCGATGTGGATGAAGCAGACTCTTAGTCTTACAGCTCCAGTGCCAACCAGGTGGGAGGCCCCTACCTGTGGAGCCAGATGGGCGGTAGCAGCTCTGACAGTAGTACTTTGGGACACTCCCACAGAGCCCCATGGGTCCCGGGATGGTCAGATCAGAGCGTGTGCGGGGGTGAGGAAGCTGTCCTCACAGGGCAGGTTAGGACAGCGGTTAGGAGTTGGGAGAGTCTCAACTCGATTCTTGGTTCTGTTACTTATTAGCTGTAACCTTGGGCTTTAGTTTCTTCATCTCTGAAAGGGAGATATTTATGCTTACGTCATCGGGTTGTTATGAGAGTTTAGGATAATTTGCATAAAGCACCTGCCTGACATGGGAGCTGCTCCATCAATGTCAACGACTTCAGAAGAGGAATAGGTCCCCGGAGTAGGGCACGTGCGGCCAAGGTAGATCAGCTCCTGGCGCCCTTTCAAGCCTCTGGGAACCACTGACATCCCTTTCCCACTTCCAACCCCCCCAGATAAAAGGAAATTAAATCACACAAAAATGATTTAGAAATTAGATTTCCTTTACCCGGGGTCTTCCGAGATCTGAAAATATTAAATGGAAAGTTTCAGAAATAAACAATTCATAAGTTTTAAATTGTGTGATGTTCCGAGTATCATGATTAAATCTTGTGCTGTCTTCCTCCGTCTCGCCTGGGACATGAGTCATCCCTTTGTCCTGGCTGGAGACGCTACCTGCCTATTAGTCACTAAGAAGCTGTCTCAGTTATCAGATTGCCTCCTGTGGTGCTTGTGTTGCAGCAACTTATTTTAATAGTCACTTTAAAAGTTATTTTAAAGCAAAAGAGTAGTGATTTATTTTTTTTAAAACATATTTTATTGACTTTTTACAGAGAGGAAAGGAGAGAGATAGACAGTTAGAAACATCGATGAGAGAGAAACATCGATCAGCTGCCTCCTGCACATCTCCTACTGGGGATGTGCCCACAACCCAGGTACATGCCCTTGACCGGAATCGAACCTGGGACCTTTCAGTCCGCAGGCCGACGCTCTATCCACTGAGCCAAACCGGTTTCGGCTAAAAGTTATTTTAAAGCGAAAGAGTAGTGATGCTGGCAATTTCAACCTGCCAAAGAGAAGCCATAAAGTTCTTGTTATGTATCACTGGAAAGTTCATATTAGCCTAAGGCCATGTCAATGCCTCCATCATTCATTCACCTCATTTCATCTCATCACATAGGCATTTTATCATCTCACATCACCAAGGGAAGGGTGAGTACAGGGCAATAAGATATTTTGAGAGACCACATTTACATAACTTTCATTATAGTATATTGTTCTATTTTATTATTATTTATTGTTGTTAATCTCTTACTGTGCCTAAATTATAAATTAAACTTTACCATAGGGATTGCATAGGAAAAAGACACACACAGTATGCCTAAGGTTTGGTGCTATTATTCATGGTTTCAGGCACCCACTGGGGGCCTTGGAATGTATCCTGGCAGATACGTGGGGGATACTGTATCCTTTTGGAGGCAGGATAGGGCTTCTAATTGATATTATATAGCAAATACTGTGACAGGACTAAAATGATGTCATGAGTTCTGGCTGGCCACAAGCATTGCAACCTGAGAAAATGCTTGTTTAGGATGTCTTGGCCCTCACAGGGTGGGCTGCAAAGATGGTATTTCCTTTAATATAGTCACAGCCTGGAATTGGGGGAATACTGGGGGGGCATACAATCCCTGTGCCTACCAGCCTATCAATCGCGTGTGTTCTGGGGGCAGGTGCATAGGCCACACTCACAGAGAAAACCCATGTGTATTTACAGGATGTGGGAGGGGTTAATTCATCGAATCTGAGGCTGCACTGGGGGCAGACAATAGCAGCCACCTCTTCTTTCCTCTTGTTCCAAGTTGCGGAGGCCTCTGTCATGGGGAACAACACCATGATTATTGTGCCCAGATAAATAATTCACGTTAGATAATTGGCTTCTTTCTGTTGCGTTCCACTGAAACTCAATTTTGCTCTGTGGTGCCAATGTTTACCTCAACATACAAAATAAACAAATGCTGCGAAGTTGCGTGGGGCCGTCCAGCAGCCTGGGTGAGTCATATGGGTCAGGCCTTTGGTATTTGAGACCCTGATGAGTAAATAGCATCAAAGGGGCTTTTCTAGGTGCAGGCTCCTGGGTGAGAGCAGAGGGCAGGGAGCAATAGCCTCCCTGGCTAGGGCTTGGGATCCTGTGCTGAACTGACATGGGTGTTAGGAGGGGCTGTGACAGGGTTTGTGACTCTGACTGTATCTGAATCTCCTGGGAAACTTTCAGATTTAAAAGCAATAAAATAAGGAAGCCAAAGTAAAAAACCCTGCTCTTGGAGACTTTAATGTGGGCCTCAGTGGTGACAGCTTATAGGCCTCGGAATTGGACTTGGGCTCAAATCCCAGCTTCGCTTCCTACCAGCTGTGTGCCCTTGGCTGGCCCTAAAGCGGATCAGCACCACGTTCATCTTCTCTCACAGGTGGCGGTGATCGTTACTTTAAGAGTTTGCATAAGTACTGGGGTTCAAGAAGGAAGGTCTCTCTAGGGTGCAGGGTGCTCGGCAGTGCACAGCCCACACGTCACCAGCTGTCCCGGCGACAGAAACCAGCCCGCCCTGCATCCCTCAGTAGTGGGAACCCTTGCCAGCTCAGGTCCAAATACCTCCCTGGAGAGTCAAGGATGTATGGGTGGGAGCGAAGAGGGCAGGAGACTGTGGCTGCTATGTCTCTAGCTGGAGGCTGTTTGCTAATGATACTCCCAGCAGCTAGAGGCAACAAGGCCTTCCTTAAAGGGGAACCTGAGCGGCACATACAACATTCACCCCATGAGGAAACTGAGGCTGGAAATGGTGACGTGACTTGCCAAGGATGGAGCTGGGAAGGAGCAGAGCTTGATACATGCTCCCAGAGGGAGCTTGAGCCGAGCACGGACCCATCCTCGATCCAGTCTGTCTTTTCCACAGTATTCCTGGGAGCCTTACACAAGGAAATTGTTCACTCATTTATTCAGCTACTTGTTTATTCATTAGCCTTCAACTAAATTTTTTTCTATAAATAATGTATTAAGTGCAGATCATATGCCTTGTGCGTAGCTTACTAGTATATTGTTAACCAAATAGGGCATGGTCCCTTCCTTATGGAACGCACTGATTTATCTCTTGACCTGTTGAGGCCTGGATCTGTAGCAAGTATACGACTTGGTTCTTTCATACGGGACCTCTCACTGTCTGAGATGAGCCGGGACGGGGGAGTGCCACTGCAGCTAGTGGCCGGCAGCCTCCTGGGTCACCGCTGGCCTGCTGGCGAGGAGCCCTCCGGCTTCCTGAGCCAGCGGGGACCGTCGCAGGCCAGCCTGTCTCCAACTAGATAATGGCTTGCATGTGTGTGCCCCTGGTCTGTGGCTGGTTTTCTGCTGCTGGGCTGAGTTCTGGGCCTGCGGTGAAATGTGCAGACTGTAATTGTCAATGGGATAATTGGATATTTTTCTGTTGTTTAAACCAACAGGAAGGCCAATCAAAGTTAGAATCAAATTCCCTCCCTTCTCAACATCTCCCAAGAGAAATCCACAGGAACAGAGGGCGTGACCTGGTGAAGGCAGAGGGACAGTGATTCAACGGTTATTTTTAAGAAGAGAGGTTAGATTTAAATTCCCATACCGGGCTGGGAGCTGGGATCATAGAAGCACGGAACATTGTTGCTGGACATGCCTCAGAGCTCCTCTGTGTCATCCCTTCAGGATAAGATGGGGAAACTGAGGCCCAGAGAAGGGGATAGAGCTGCCACAATGCTCTTCAGGCTTCCTCCTGCCCATAGCGCAGTCCTGCCTTCGCCGGGCTGTTTCTTAAGCTCATTCTCCCACCCAGTCTCCCTAGAAGCTCTGTGTCCAAGCCCCGGTGTAATTCTCACTAGCAATGACCTGTAACAGGCATCATTTCATTCGTTCACTCATTCATTCGAATGAGATTTACTTTGGGCTGAGAACTGTAGGCCAGGCCCTGGGTAGTACAATAATGATTTATGTAAATATCATCTTTCCTACCCAGTGATGAATGTCCTGAGGGCTGAACTCATTTCTGATTCATGTTTGTGCTCCTGTGAGCATTAGAATGCACACAGTGGGA